ACAATGAGTATGAAAACCTTCAAGATAAACAAATTATAATTTAAAAGTTTGGCCTAATGGTGGCACTAGAGGATAATATAACATGCTGATTTCAAGGAGTCACTTTATGTTACAATTGGAGGGGTTTCCTACCAGACATGAAAATGCCGAAAAAATGGACAGAAATTGAGACCAAAACCAGTATAATGCAAGTGCGCCCACTTTATAACTTGCATAGTTCTCCAACTTAAAATGCTATGATCTACAGTGATTCAACGCAGCTGTGTCAAATCTGAATAACAAAAATGGCAGGAGAACTTAGAGTTAGATGTTAAAAGCAGTGCTTAAAAAACACTAAGCAGTACAGTCTCGGAGCTAATGCAAAGGGCTTTAAAAAACATGATTGAAATGTGTCATTAGGTTTTCTTAAAAAAATGATTAAGAACTAATTTCTCCATTACTTTTAGCTAAAATAAGCAGCTTCAAAAATGGCCAGAAGGAGGATCAGTTACTTCAATGCTTAACTGACAGCTTGCTTAAAAAACAACCGGTACACATCCAGATAAAAAAAAGAGACCACATTAAGACACAATGCCCTAGCAACACCAAAAACAATTTCCTTAACAGCTTGTTATTAATACTTGGCAAAAAAAACAGTCTCTAAATATCCAAGCGGCGATGTGGTACTTCTTTTTCCCATTACGCTCGGCACCTAGTATCACTTCTGTTGGCGCGGTCTCGTTCAGCCAAGGGTTCTGACCAGGCGTTTTGGAGGCTTCAGACACCAAAGGAGCAACTTTGTCCCAAAATGACTGCACAAGTCAAGTCAATTCACTCTGACATTCACTGCACTGGGTGAACACATGCAGCTGTTATATAAAGTCTCTGGAAGGTCTCTGGACCAGTGAGGGCGGATCATGCGCTGACATGCTTGCAATACTACCCCGGGCTGATGGGGGTGGACCCGGAATAAGAATTAGCCAATGCTAACATATAGCATCTTCTTACCTCTCTTTTTTTTTTTTTGTCTTTCTCGCTGTGAATTTTTGAAGTCACTCTTTTAAAATGAATGGAGCTCGCGCCGGCTGACGCATGTGCAGATGCGTTTTTTCCATAGACTGTATATATTAACGGACAGAGTCGCGCCTATCTCAGCAATTCTAACTGCGCATGCGTCAGCCGGCAAGAGGTCCATTCATTTGAACGAGAGACTTCAAAAATTCACAGCGAGTAAACTAGAGTGGACCAAAAAAAATCACCCCCCTCAGCATTGACTCACATGTGGAACGGAGCTTTGGGCCAATAGCCAACTTTTGGTCCATCCTGTAAAGACGTTTTTGAGAAGTCTGCCAATGCTATATGTTAGCATTGGCTAATTCTACTTCTGGGTCCACTCCCAACGGCCCACGGTGGTATTGCAAGCGTGTCAGCGTACGTCATTTTGGCCACTTTTGAGCCGAAACCCGCCCCCACTGGTTTTTTCACATTTTCCAGCCGGCGCGGCCATTTTGAATCACCATATATAGTCTATGCTCTGGACAAAGAGACGCTGCAGAGCTGCATTCTTACGCTAGCTTAACTCCGTTAGCATTAAAGCCCACCCGCCACTTGTGTCAGGCGCCACCACAGGCCACGTCTTCAGGTCTGAACGCCCCTAGCGTCTGAAATTTTGAAAATGTGCGTCCAGTGCATTAAAAAGTAAACCTTAAGAGGTGACAATTCAAGACAACTCAGTGCTCCACCCAAAGGTTTTGTAACTAATTAAAGTTGCAGTAAATATTTAATTTTGACACTGTTGGTTGAGAAACCCAATGTAAATTAATTAAGGGTGAGCCATATTGACTTTACGTTTGTTAATAATCGTTTAATCCACTCTGATGACACCTTTATTCATCTGCCCTACTCTCTCAAGTACAAAAGCATTAGTTTGTTTGTATTCTGTGCTCACCCTCCCATTGAACAAGCGTACTCAAAAACATTTATTTGAATTAGGATTAACGCCAGGTGCATAGCAGGATGAAGATGTTGGTTTTAACATCATCTCGATTTTAAGCTTCTCTTCATTTAAAACAGAAAGTAACTTTCTAGAAGCAGTTTTTTAAATGGACCGTTCTGCCTAAGGAGATCAAAGGCCATCCCTTAACTCTTTCAAGAAGAAACTAAAGACTAATTTGTTTGAACATTCTTTTGTCTAAGTATGAAGAGAAAAAGATGGGTTTTATAACTCTAATAAAAAATGTAGGTTTAAAAAGGGAAATAAAACGCACCATAGAGTACAAAATCGAATCAGTTTTATGCACAGCAAAAATATATATATTTTCAGCCTAATTTTTAACATCAGTGTAAAGGCCTGTCTCACAACCTCTGGAAGACTGTTCAATATCCAAGCTGCATAAATCTGAAATGCAGCCTTTCCATGTTCTGACTCTTGGCACCAGCAGGAAGCCAGTCCCAGTGCGTCTAAGAGTCCCAACCGATTCATATGGCACTAACATGTCTCGGATGTACTTTGGTGAGAGGCCATTGAGAAACTTGTAACAAGCAGAGGTGATAGAGTCTATTCTCTGAGCCACAGGAAGCCAATGCAGAGACCTGAGGACTGGACTGATGCGGTCGTACTTCCTGGTTCTGGTCAGGATTCGAGCTGCAGCATTTAGGACATACTACAACTGTTATATTGCGCGTTTGGAGAGACCAGTGAGCAGCCCATTACAGTAGTCTAACGCTAACCTACTGGAGACAAATGCATGTATGAGGATTTCTTAGTCAGCTTATATTTTTGATTATTGCAATGTTCTATAAAGCAGTTGATGTCACTGATTTGATATTGCGGGTTAATAGTATTGAAATACATTGTGGGCAAAATTCATTTTCTGATTATTTGTTTGTTGTTTGTGGTCGTAATCATAATATCTTGTGTTACTTTCCTTGTCATGGTCTACATCTTTGTCCAGTTTTCCCAAGTCCTATTGTAATACATTTTTTGGCATAAATGTGGACACTGACAAGCCAAAATTGAGAATTCACTTATCCATAAAATTTGAGAAACACACATTTAACTTTTTGAGGACTTTCTTTGAAAAAATAGATGAGATAGTTAAGACACCGGGAAAGAAAAAAGAAAGAATATAACGCTGACACCTGCCTCTGCTTTTCAGTGCCAACTAACATTTCGCACAGACTCTGACCCTCGGGCCCAAAATCGACTAAATCTATAGGCAAAAGGCTCTCTTCCAAAAAACACTCCATGATTACACAGCCTGAAAAGTTACCAGTCTATTTGGTGTCCTGCCCATCTGACATCTCGTGCTGTGATTGGCTGCTTCTTTTCACAGCTGCTGGTATAAATGGGTGTAAAGAAAAGTGATGGGCTACTCTACAGGTAAGAGGAGATCAGTTCTCCATAACTAACATTGCAATATTGTGATATGAATTCTAATTGTAACTCATTGTCTTTCAGCCATGGGTTCCCTGTTGCTGTGTAGTGCTCTGCTGCTTCTCTTCAGCTGTGAGTTGAATTTTTGCTATTATTAGGAAATAAATATGATGATGTGGGTACATTTTGTTGTAAATATGTAGAAACGAATTGAGAAACACTAATCCTACTTCAGGGTTTGTCACTTTTTTCTCATGGCTAGTTCTTAAATATTTCATAACAAGTAAAACAAGAAGTCTGGTCATACCACACCATAGTACAATTTACATATGCAGAGAAATTATGATTGACCAGAGTGTACGGATGGCTAAGGGCAGGCTAGTTTTTATCTAAATCAACAATTTTCCAAACATTTGATGTGTCAAAAAAGGGCTGTGGGAAGGGAAAATATAATGTGGTATATTTGGTTTTCTTTGTTTGTTTCTTGCAACTATATACTGTATGTCTCCATAATAAGTAATGTATTGCCTACAGATATTACTGTTGTGCTGTTCATGCTGGAAATATATGAATCATCTTTACACCTTTTTTCTTATTATTTTCAGGCCCATGTCAGGCTATGTGGGCTGGGAAGGAGTATGCCCTCACATTTCTGCAGAATTATAATCAAGACTGGGGCACCCCAAGCTTACAATTGTTTATCACTGCTGTTCGGTTAGATGCTGAAGTCATTGTGGAAGTCCCTTCTTTAGATTTTAAGAAACAGATGAAGGTAAAGGTTGATAACTCAATCATCATCACTCTTCCAAATAAAGTAGAATTACAAGGGACTGGAATGTCATCCAACACTGTTCGCATTCAAAGCACGGCAGCTGTTGCTGTAACTGCTTCGAACAACAAACCCCTCACCACTGACATCTCTGTGATTCTGCCTATATCCCAATGGGGCACTGAATATTTTATTTTTACTCCAAATGGATCCCCTCACAATACTTATAAAGAGTTTGCTTTGACTAATGGGAAAGAGCCCAACAAAATAGACATTGGACTGACCGCTCCGCTTAACTTCAAGGGAAGTGTGTACCAAAAAGGCGACCATTTGCAGCTAGAACTTCAGCCTTACGAGAGCGTGCAATTTCAGACGACAGGCAAAGTTTCTGGTTCCAAAATCACCGCAGATAAACCAGTGGCTGTGTTCTCTGGTCACTCTTGCACATGGCGCTTCTCCAAATGTAACCACGTCTTTGAGCAGTTGCTGCCCGTCACCAGTTGGGGTTCCAGTTTTATCATTCCCCCGTTGAGCTTCCAGGACCAATTTGATAGCATCTTTCTCCAGGCGTCACAGACAACAAAAATCACTGTGCAAACTGATAAAGGGAAAGATGTTTATAGTTTAAATGAGGGAGAAATGAAGGAGATTGAGAATCATGACGCGACCACGCTCGTGATAGACGCCGATCATCCCATCCAAGTCCTCCTACTCTTCAACGGTGTAACTAAAAACAAAAATCATTACACTGACCCATTTTTGACGAATATAGTTTCCACAGACCGCTTCTGTTCGTCATACATGCTGCATACTCTAAAGGGCTTTGATAACAATGCTCTGATTGTGGCAAAAAACACAGATATGTTGACAATTCAAATGGATGGAGAAATGCTCAAACTCAGAGGTGCCAAGTGGAAAGAAGTAAAAGGGACGGGTTACTCGTGGGTCATGATTACCAGTGAGCCAAAGAAAGACAACGGCAGTTTTGTGGTTTCAAGCAAAGGCAACACCTTCGGGCTGTACAGCATCGGGGTAACCCAGGAGAACGGATATGGTGCACCGGGACAATGCATTAAAGAAGGTATTTTAAACAACACATTGCACAAAAATGTCCTTAAACTAATAGAGGGGTTGATTTTAGCTTCGTCCATGCTTACTGTATATGAAGAATGTTCTTAATCCTACCTGTGCGGTTTCTGTCTCTATGCTTTGAAATAAATGTCTAGAATTTGATGGAATCAACATAATGAGTCCATTAACACTGCTCTGACAGAAGCTCTAATCACTAGGGATACACAGAGACCACTTTTTTCAAAACTGATTCGAGTACCTTAATTTCAGTACTTGCCGATTCCGAATACCGATACGAGTACTGCATTGTGTTATCTCTGGGATTTCATAAAACTAATACAACTGAAATGTTAAATGTTTTGTTTATCATTTCGACAATAAGAAAATGATTTGACAATTAAAGGTATATAGGAGGATTTTCCCAATTTTTAGGAAAGTACCGCCTTCTCCACTTTTTGAACCAAACTCTCTGGTCTTATTGGACGAGGCCGTATCAGCAGAATGATTGACAGTTGGGAGGACCAATAGTCTTGACGATCCACCCGGAAGTAGAAAATCCTCCTATATACCTTTAAGCATTTCAGCAATTGTTCTAACAGTCAACAATAAGAGCCAATGTCATTTTCCACTCATACAAATGCCATGTTGTATAGTTGGTTGTTTTTGTGCTCCGGTGCTAGCTATACTCCGCGTGGTAGTGAGTTTTTAGATGTTTGATACGTGTTTGTTTTGGACTCACCTCGTGCCAGTTTCGCCTTACACAACAAACAGTCCGCTTTACTCTTGTCACAAGTTTACTCTGGTTATAATATCAAGGTAATAAGTAGAGCAAATAAAACAGCAAATTCCTTGAAGAATTTCATAAATATCCACGCACTGCCTAAACACTTGCTGGTTTCTCCCTAGGTTTTTCCTTTTCTTGTGAAATGTTGTCGTGCCAGACTGGTACAGTGTGTGAGATGCTGAATGGCCTTCCCAAGTGCGTACCTGAGCCCACAGAGCTCACCACCTGCTGGGCGATGGGGGATCCACACCACAGAACATTTGATGGACAACGTTTTGACTTCATGGGCACGTGCACATATGTCATGGCTAAAAACTGTGGAGCGAGAGGTCTTCCAGCGTTTGAGGTTCTGGCTCAAAATGAAAACAGAGGCAACCGCAAAGTGTCCTTCGTTGGACTGGTCGTGGTGACGGTGTACAATACGACTATTACGGCAGTACGCTCAGAGACGGGCTACGTCAGGGTATGTTTTTTTTAATCTTTTCAAAAAATAGGAACTAGTCTTTTTTTTTTGTCTTTCAAACTTGAGACATTCTAATAAAATACATGCTAAAGTAATACCACTAAATGTACTTGAAGAAAGTATATTTTGTTATGATTTGAATTACACTAGGAATGAGAAAAACTGCAACATCTATCTTTTTAGAGTATTTAGTTAAGTGCATAGAAACAGTGAAGTCCTTGCGTAATGTTGCTACTTTTTTGAGGATTATAAAAACACAGAATCAAATATTTGGCTGACAAATCAGACTAATTTATTAAAACGCTGTGTAACCAGTGGGTAGAATTTGTTTCAGATACAGCAAAAATGCTTTACAACACTAGTTTATTACCCTAGAATGTGTTACCCTGCATACATTTTGTTAGTTTTATGATTGTACTTCCACCTCCAGCACACTATTGGTACAGGCTTGGTACTGTCACTAAATCTGGAAGAGTAAATGGCCACACTTAAAATGATCCGCAATGCAGGTAAATTGTCACTCCCCAACTTTAAATTATATCTCTGTTCATGGAGGGAAAGTAAAAAAATTGAACAACACCAATTTGTAGATATCAATATTATTTGAATATTACATAGTATATTCAAGCAAGACAGGACAAGTTGTGGTTTGTCTTGTTTGAGCAAGCAAATTTTAGCATTTGCTCTTTCTAAATGTAAATGTTTGTGTTTTTTTCTCACTAGATTGACCAAACTTCTTGGGCATTGCCTATCACCCTGAATAATGGAACACTGATGATTTCTCAAAGTGGTCGTTCAGTGCTTATTGAGACTGACTTTGGGCTGAATGTGCGCTATGACTGGCATCACTCACTGGTTGTAGGCCTGCCTAGTTCTTACAAAGGATATACATGTGGCCTTTGCGGAAACTTCAACGGGAACTCCAGCGATGACTTTGCAACTCCTTCAGGCAGCCAGGCAGGGAGCGTGGTGGAGTTTGGCAGCAGCTGGAAAGTACCTGGCCCCATGGACGATGCCCACTGCAGAGATGACTGTGTGGGTGGATGTCAAGAGAAGTGCGAGCACAAGCTGCTGCACATATGGGAAGGAAACTCTTTCTGTGGAATAATCACAATGGCGGGAAAAAATGGGCCGTTCAGTCAATGCCACAGGTTAGTGGACCCAGAAGCGTACTTTGAGAGCTGTACATTTGACGTGTGCATAGGATTGGGGCAGCGTCTGTTGCTGTGCAAAGCTCTGGAGGCCTATGCTGATGCATGTCAAAGTGCAGGAGTGGAGGTCTACGACTGGAGGACCATAGCCAGATGCCGTAAGTATCTCCAACCTTTTAGTAGCATGGACCGGTTTAACGTCACAACAATTGCAAGCAGGAGGCACATTGCTGTAGTGCAGTGTCTCCCAAAGTGGGGTCCGCGGCCCCCTGGTGGGCTGCGGGGGTACTGCAGGGGGGCCGTAAGAGGTCATCAAAAAAAAAAAAAGTTCATATAATTATTGTATGTTAAATTAACAATATTTTGTTTGTAATGTTACAATATTTGTGTTCATTATTTGACTTGAATCATCAAATTGTAATCATTTGAGTATTACAAAGTGGGGATGGTCATTTACACGTTTGTAGCAGAGGCTTTATCCCCCAAATAAAGTAACGAGAAGAGCCTATTTTTAACATCGTCTTCTTGGTTATTTTGGGGGGGCCGCGCAGACCAGACCAGGTCAGATTTTTAAGGGGGCCCCGGTGTTACTGACTTTGGGAATGGCTGCTGTAGTGTGTACACTGTAATAAGTGAATCAGACCCAACTTTAATGTAAAATATTTTAAGTATTTACTATATACTGTACTTCATTTTTTAAATATTTTTGGTTGACAAATAAGTACTGTATAACATCATCATAGCACCCTATACAACACTGATTTTATTGCTTTAAGTATTTATTTTGTAAGTTTTGTAACACATATTGTGTCGATTAAAACAAAATCTATTGGGCGAAGCAGTGACGCTACCCAGAATGCATTGCAGAGCAAAAATTAAACTATCCTTATTAAAATATCTACATTTTAGCATTAAGTTTGAGAGTGAATAAGTCCTAATTCAAAATAAGTGAGCAAAATTTTGAATAAACTACTTCAAATAAATAATTTATTTTATATCTATTTATTTTTACCAACCTTAATTGAAAGGGCAAAGTCAAAGTAGGTTTATGCTACCAGGGTTTTCTATCCATTTATTATTAATTCTCAGTAATGGTCAGTGTCCCAGCACACTATATTTGACTCAAATTAAGCAATATATGATCAATCAGAATTATTGCTTCTAAGTAGAATAGTTCCTGGGTTCGGGATGTTTCAGAATAGTGTTTGCAATTTCTCACTTACTTCATGCAGAAGCTAGAGTTATACTGTACTTTAAAAGAAAACAAAAATATTAAGTAAATCAATAACTTCAAAGTAATAGTTTTGCATTCTGTCCAGATGAATTTAATATTTGTTATTACTTTAGAGCTAAAGAGCTGAAGTTGATAGTACACAAAAAGGCTGAAGGAACCGCTAACGGTATTTTTTCCGTTTCTGAAACTCTCTTCACACTGACAGCATTGAGAACGTGGCAGAATATGAGCTACATTTCAGGGCTGACGTGTCACGTGACACAGCTGTAAGGAGATTATCCGGTCATTTAACATCCTCAAAATAAAAAAATTGCTTAAACTTGGAAAATCAATATGGAAATTATTTATTCATTTCTTCAAGGCCTAGTTTGAATGTCCCATTGACCGAGGTTTGTGGACCACTGCTTTTTACAAGCAGATCCTTCCACACGAATATCAGGAACTTGGGGCATAAAAAAGTCCCCTCTGTCCTTTGTTTTAAAAATTCAGACTATAGTTTATTTTTCGTAAAAAAATAATAATAATAATGTAATTGAGAAAATTGAAATTTTCAGAGACCTTGGTTTTGTCTTGGTGTTGCTGTCTCTAACTAAAGCTTGAAGGAATCAATAAAACAACTTTGGGCATGTGTATGAAGGCCAAATAGGACTGTAATGATGTTCAGAGCAGAGAAACGTCCAAAAGCGTGTAATGGGACATTTATCAAGTAATCTTGTTTTTTGTATTAATTGTTAACAGTGTGTGCACAAACTCAAAACATATTTTTGTAAGTAACTTATTCACTTATTCAGTAAGTTTTAACTCTATACTTTTGTAAAGAGTAGTCCTTCTATTTTTTTTGGTTTGTATTTACACTAAAGGAATATGTTAGTTATTCTTCTAACTACTCCCGATATGGTCTACGTGTTCTTAATGAATGGTTTAAACTGGAAAACCCAACATCTTAGAACGTGGATAGAACCATGTCATTCCAAGGGGACAATTTATGGTTTTAATTACGTGACCACATTTTCTCTTTATTCTTTTGTAGCTGCTAAATGCCCTCGCAACAGCCACTATGAGCTCTGTGGAAGCGCGTGCCCAGCCACCTGCTCTGACCCAGCTGCGCCCTCCAAATGCAGACGCCCGTGTATTGAGAGCTGCACATGCGACGAGGGCTTCTTGTGGAGTGGAAAACAGTGTGTCCCAGAGAAGCAATGCGGCTGCAGCTACAATGGCCGCTACGTTCCAGCCGGGAAGGCGTTTTGGGCGGATGAGGGCTGTCGCAAAAGGTGCACCTGTGACCCCAAAAACCATGAGGTGCAGTGCAAAGATAGAGGTTGCAAGAAGGGAACGAAATGTCAAGTTTTGGATGGCATCAGCAAGTGTGTGGCTGTCTCCGTCAATACATGTCAGGCCACAGGTGACCCTCACTTTAAAGGTTTTGACGGGAAAAGGTTCAATTTCCAAGGCACATGCGTGTATCGGCTAGCTGCACTGTGCTTCGAGGATCCGGAATTGGAGCCTTTTGAAGTAAATGTGCAGCTGGAGAACAGGGGCAAAAGAAAAGCTGTTTCCTTCACGAAGATGGTTGAAGTGAAGGTCTACTCCTTCCGCATTGTCATTTCAAGGACACATAAAGGAATCGTCATGGTGAGTACATAATAATGCATAGCAAAATATGACTTGAATTCATGATTCTGTTATTAATTTAAATTTAAATTAAGAATGAGGTGAATGAGACATGAAGAAGGATTACAGTATAGTCCTCACACCTTGGGCAATGATCATCTCCTGGGCGCCACATTGGAATTTCACCCTCTTGAGGAGGGCCAGACCACTTTAACAACAATGAAAATGATTTGAGACACTTTGTTTTCATTTGTGGAGGTACTCAGGGCAAGTTATGATTGTATTGTGTCAATCAATCAGTATTTATTTGTGGAGTGCCTTTCATACAGGGCAACACAAAGCGCTTCACAGTCCACATCACACAAGGCACAAATAATCACATTAAATCACCATTTAAAACACAATAAATAATCACACAGGTAGTTAAAAACATTAAAACATTAAATTTACACAAGTGATTCAAAAATAAATAACCACAGTGCACAAAAGATAGAGATTACAATACAATACAAAACACTTTTAGGAAGGAAATTCCTAATTTTAGCGATGTTCCGTAAGTGGAAGTACGCCGTTTTAGTTGCTTGGCTTATATAAGCCTTGAAGGAGAGTTCTTGGTCAAAAATGACTCCAAGATTCCTCACAGTGTTACTGGGTATAATACTGACATTATCGAGAGTAATTATCTGGTTAGTGAGGGAGTCACACAGGCGCTTCGGACCGAGTAGGATCACTTCTGTCTTCTCCGGGTTGAGAAGTAGGAAGTTAAGAGTCATCCACGTTTTAAGGTCCTTTATGCAGGCAGTAAGCTTTTCTAGCTGATCTGTCTGATTTGGCTTCATCAACAGATAAAGCTGTGTGTCATCTGCATAGCAGTGGAAATTAATTCCATGCTTTTTAATTATGTTTCCTAACGGCAGCATGTAGAGAGTGAAAAGAATCGGTCCGAGTACCGAACCCTGCGGCACACCGAATTCTACTCCAGAATAAGGCGACGAGTTCTGATTTACGTTGACGAAGTGATACCAATCTGATAAATAGGATTTAAACCAGCCAAGGGCTGTTCCTCTAAGACCTATATCACATTCTAGCCTCTGCAGTAGAATGCTGTGGTCTATTGTGTCAAATGCAGCACTAAGGTCCAGTAGGACCAGCACTGACACTTGTCCATTATCAGCAGCTAGTAGTAAGTCATTTGTGACTTTGACTAGTGCCGTTTCAGTGCTATGATGAGCTCTGAATCCTGATTGAAAGACTTCAAACATATTATTTTCCTGCAGGTGGCAGCGAAGCTGCTCAGCTATAAGTTATTCCAGGATTTTAGATATGAAAGTGAGGTTTGAGATCGGTCTGTAGTTTGTAAGTATTTCTGGGTCCAGGTTTGTTTTCTTCAGAAGGGGTTTGATTACCGTGGTTTTAAAAGCTTGTGGGACATAGCCACATTGTATGGATGCGTTTATTATATTTACGATAGGCTCAATTATCAAAGTAAGTATGTCTTTGAAGAGCCATGTCGGGACTGCGTCTAACATGCAAGTTGAGGCTTTCGAGGATGTGATCACTACCAACAGCGCACCGACTCACGACAAGGGTCATATTCTGGACCTTGTTTTATCTTGCGGTTTAAACGTAAACCTGACAGAGATTTGTGACGTTGGTATATCAGACCATTTTCCTGTGCTTTTTTCTCTGGTGATGTCCTTATCCAAAAGTAAACCATGCGTCCCAGCGCGTCAGCGGCGCGTCATCTCCCCATCCACAGCCCCACTTTTTTCTACGGCCTTTGCTGCCTCTGATCTCAACGTTCAGCTAATTTCTTGCAATTCTGCTATGAACATTGATGAGTTGGTTAGCTTATTTGACTTGACGTGCGTGGGCATTCTCGACACTGTTGCACCTTTTAAAATTTGGCGTTCACACCTTGCAGAGCCATGGCACAATGACACTACTCGTGCACTCCGACGCAATTGTCGCCGTGCAGAAAGGAAATGGAAAAAGGACAAACTTTATGTATCACTGGGAATTTTAAGACAGTCCCTTGCTAAGTATCAGGATGCTGTCAGGACAGCAAAGTCTCGGTATATGGCAAACATTGTGTCTTCAAACTGTCATAATCCTCAGGTTCTTTTTAATGTTTTAAACAAGATTGTGAATCCAATTGAAACCACTGGTGTTGTTCCTTCTACTTCTTTGTGTGAGAAGTTTTGCCAGTTCTTTATCGACAAAATATTGAATATACGTTCATCTTTGCCTTTTGTACCCACTGATCCTAGTGTTGCCTTTGAATGCTCAGCTGTTTTCAGTGACTTTGACTGTATTTCATTGTCTGAACTGCTAAAGGTTGTCCAGAGCTTAAAACCATCTAACTGTCCACTGGATAACCTTCCAGCTAGACTGTTAAAGGATGTTTTTGACTCTGTTGGTCCTTGCATTTTGAATTTGGTAAATGCTTCCCTAACTTCTGGTATTGTTCCCAGTGCTTTTAAACAGGCTATTGTCCAGCCTCTTTTAAAAAAACATAATTTGGATTCTTCTGTTTTATCTAATTATAGGCCAATTTCAAAGCTGCCTTTTCTGTCCAAAATTCTCGAAAAAGTTGGTCTTTGCTCAACTACAGTCGCACCTTAAATCTTCTGATATCTGTGAAAAATTCCAATCGGGTTTTAAATCTTTGCACAGCACAGAAACGGCTCTTTTAAAAGTTTTTAATGATCTTCTTTTAATTTCAGACTCTGGCCGTTCAGCAGTCCTTGTACTTTTAGATCTAACGGCAGCCTTTGACACTGTTGACCATAATATTTTAATATCCCGTCTTGAATCATGTGTTGGGATGAGTGGCACAGTGCTTAAGTGGTTTAAGTCATATCTGAATGATAGGTGTTTTTCTGTAAACCTTGGTTCTTTTACCTCGCAGAAAGCCCCCCTAACCTGCGGGGTACCCCAAGGCTCAATTTTAGGGCCAATTCTTTTTTCATTGTACATGCTGCCATTGGGCTCAATTTTTAGGAAATACAACATTCAGTTTCATTGCTTTGCAGATGATGTACAGATCTATTTGCCTTTGGACCTCAAATCTAACTCATCTGCCGCCTTATTGACATGTCTTAAAGAGGTCAAAGACTGGATGTCACTGAATTTTCTCAATTTGAATGAGAAAAAGACTGAAATCGTGTTATTTGGTGAGGCTAACCCTACCAGCAGTGCTCTTGGTCCACTTGCGTCCCACTGCTGTTTATCCGCCAAAAGTCTTGGATTTCATATTGACAGTTCATTCCAGTTTGAAAAACAGATCAATGCAGTAGTCAAAACTAGCTTTTTCCAACTTAGGCTTCTAAGTAAGGTGAAGCGCTACTTACCTTTAAACCAATTTGAACAGGTTGTCCATGCATTGATCACAACTCGTTTGGATTATTGTAATTCTTTGTATTTTGGTCTAAAGCAGTCATCAATTCACAGACTCCAAATGGTCCAAAACGCGGCTGCACGCCTGCTCACAGGAACCAAACGGCATGAACATATTACTCCTGTTCTGTCGTCTCTTCACTGGTTACCTGTTGCTTTTAGAATAGAATTTAAAATTCTATTACTTGTTTTTAAATCCATCCGCGGACTGGCACCGCCTTATTTATCTGATTTGTTGTCTTTGCACGCCCCTGTCAGAGCTCTCCGATCCTCGGGCCAAAGTTTGCTGGATCGTCCAAGATCTCATTTAAAAACTAAAGGAGATAGAGCTTTTGCAGTAGCAGGCCCTAAACTGTGGAACTCCCTCCCTGTGACCATTAGACAGGCTACATCAGTTGAGAGCTTCAAAACTCTGGTAAAGACTTACCTTTTTACGCAGGCTTTTAACACAAGATGAGCTGAGCATTTCTTCATTTTTTCATATTTTTACAGTTTACATTTTTACTTTCTTATCGTGTTATATTGTTGTGTTTTTGTAGTGTTGTATTATTGTACTGTGTACAGCACTTTGGGGCAGCGATGGCTGTTTTGTAAATGTGCTTTATAAATAAATTTGACCTTGACCTTGAACAGCGGGAGAAACCTCCTCCAGTTTGTCACGGATGGATGTAATTTTATTATTAAAGAAGTGGAGAAAGTCGACACTGCTCAGTGAGCTTGGAATTTTAGGCTCGATTGCGCTATGGCAGTTTGTGAGTTTAGCGACGGTGCTAAACAAAAATACTGTTATTTTTATTGGCTTCTATTAAAGTTGAATAGTATTGAGTTCGAGCCCTGCGAAGGGCATTCTTATAGTTTCGGAGACCTGCTTTCCACTCCCTGTGGACAGGCTCCGAGTGGGAGTGGCGATATAGCCTCTCCAATTTTCTGACGTCCTGTTTTAAAGTGTGGAGTTGAACACTGTGCCAGGGCGACTATGATCTGATCCTAATAGTTTTCTGTTTTAAAGGAGCTGCTGCATTTAATGCAGATTTTAAAGACTCCATAGTGTTGCCCACCGTTTGGTCAATGACTGAGGGACTGCAGCTGCTGTGAACAGGTTCACCTGCAGCAGTATTCAACATAGGCTGTATTAGTTCTTTGAACCTTGTGATAGATTTATCATTTAAGGTTCTTTTCATTATGGTTTTATCTTGCGGGACAGGAAAGTCCTCCAAATCGAGATCAAACGTGATCAAGAAATGGTCAGACAGCAACGAGCTTTGACGCTGGATGTCAACATTGGAGACATCACAGCCGTAGGTCAGGACAAGGTCCAAGGTGTGGTTATGAATGTGAGTAGGTTCCTCAACATTCTGAGTAAAACCAACACGATCTAGTACGGCGCTGAAAGCTTTGTTTAAGCTGTCAGTGCTGTAGTCCACATGTATATTGAAGTCTCCAGTTATAACTATGTTTTCCCATTCCAAAACTAGGTTTGAAATGAAGTCAGAGAATTCTGTTAGGAACTCGCTGCAAGGACCAGGAGGTCGGTATAAAACTATAAATAGCACCGCTTTTTGTTTTCTCCACCCAGGAGAGGTGATTGAAAGTGTTAAGTTTTCAAACGAGTGAAAAGCATT